AAGCTAATTATGATTTTTTTTGTAAAATAAGTCCAGATTTAATATTAACTCAAAAAAAATTTTTTTTAGAGTTTCCTTCCTTTCTATTGCAAAGTTCCCATATAACAAATAGTTATACTAAGAAAATTCGGGATCTAATGGATGATGCTGAAGAATATATTATTGGAGTGGCTAATGATTAAGAAATGGGTAGAATGGAGGAGTGAATGGAATGGGATGAATCTAGTGATAACTTCTAGGTAAAAAGGAAGTATGGGTTCTAGGAGGAAAAGAAGAGTATCATATAGATCCTCATGGATGGCCATCATGGCATGCTCATTTTTATGAAAAAGTCAGCCTGAATGACTTTTATTAATAGATAAGAGGGGGTGGTTATTCTGGAAAGATTTAGATGTGATGAAACTTAACGAGTATCAAGACAAGCTATATAATCTTAAGCTAGAAGGCCGGCCCTATATATTACGTTTTCAGTTCATGACATGTCTGCGTCAAAAATTATATGGTCCAGGAATTCATGAAGATGGAACTGTATGGTGGCATAGTGATAGACTAGTCAATGTTAACTATGAAATGGCATCAGAAGCTTGCTGTCTTCTTTATCATTCTATAGAGTATACTCTTTTTACTAGACTCTATACAGAAGGAGGAATTGTAGAAGAAATGGAAGATAAAGGATGGCATTTTGGTAAGAAAAAGAAAGCTGGAAGTCTTACTGGAGAAGAAATTACGTCAGGACAACTAATGGGAATTGACAAATTTTTAGTATTAAAAATCCGAGAGTATGTTAACCATATTTGCTATGAACTTCGACCAGTTCCGAGACCACAAAAACCACCAGGACCATTTTATGATGGTGACTTGAATTGTATTGTAGCAGAATTACAAAGACTAATAGAGCATGGGGGAACAAAGAGGGCAATAGGGCTAACACCAGCTCGTAAAAGTGCCTTTGCGAAATTTAATGAAAAGGTACGAGCATCCGGCTGTACTTTAGATAATTTGCATGTCCTTGAAAAGCCGGAAAAATCTGAAGATATAGGGATGAAAATCGTCATCAAAGATATTTTGGGTAACGAAATGTGGAATAGTGGTTAGTGATTATAATTGAATAACTTTAGTTAACTATTGTTGATCACGATTAATCAGCTATATTATTTTAATTTGTAATACAATACAAATAATACATAATAACTGCGCCAAATATTTTATTACAAAAATTCTTGTATGCAATTTTATTTAGGAACGATAGTAAAAATATTTGAATTTTGCTGTAGAAACAAGAGATCTGAAACAGTAGTTAGATCTAAATGATTACGTTTTTCAGTAAGAATATTGCCAGCACTAGAAAAAGCCTTTCAGCCAGAGTTGAACTAGCAGGAATAGACAAATAATTCTGTGCAATTTTTGATAATTGGAGAAAACACTTATAATTATTTTTCCACCATAAAATTGGATCGTTAGCTTCTATTGAAGGAAGAATTGGAAGGTTCATATAAATATCCAATTCTGATTTTTCAACTGAATTGGTTTTATAACCACAATTTTTAAAAAATTGCAATATAGGAGACATAGAGTTATCTGAGGTTTGTAAAGATTGAGTTTCTCTTTGTGGTTCTATAAGATTATGGATAATTGAAAATATATATTCTCTTTTTAAGGGTGAAACAAAGCTAAGAGATTTGAAGCGTGGATCTATTAAAGATGCTTGAATAAGTTGAACTACTTAAAAATTTTGTTGCTTGGAAAAATGGATAAAGGATAAATGTTAATTCTTCAACTCTGATCCATTCTTCTGTTGTTAAATATAATGTAGCTAAATTATTTCTATCTTTATGAATTTCTTTATTATCATCCTTTTGCATTGCTTCATATAATAATTTAATTGCTTGTTTTAATTTCAGAAGCCTTTCTAAAACTTTATATGTGGAATTCCACCTTGTATCAATATCTTGAATTGGTGCTAATGTGTCTTTAGTAGGTTGAAGAATTTTTTGAATTTGTAGAAAACGATTTTGATATTTATCATGATGTACAAGAAAAAGATTAAGTGCTTTAGCTTTTTTTAATAATTCTTGTTCTAAATTAATTTTTAATCCATCTGATACTGCTAGATGAATTGTATGTGCACTGTAAGAAATGTTGGCAATTTGTAATTCTTGAAAAGCTTTAATTATTTTTGCATCATTATCACTTACACCTGCAATAATTTTTTCTTGTAAATTAATTTTCCATTGATTAAATATATGTCGTAATTTATTAGCTATATTATCAGCAGTATGATTATATGGCATCTCTTCTATTATAAGTAAAGCTTGTTGAAGTTCAAAATTATCGTTAATCTAATGAACAGTTACGCCAATATAAGATCGATGAAATCCAGTCCACAAATCAGTTGTAAAACTTATTTTTATTGTTATTTTTTCAAGTAAATTAGCTAAAGCATGACGAGAGAATTCTACACTTTGTGATATCATAATTTTAATTGTATTATCACAAGGCACTCTATAATTAGAACATAAAGAATTGCAAAAAGCTTTAAATTTTTTATTCTTTAACAATGTAAAAGGTTGTAAATCATCAATTAAAAATTCTAAAAGACGAAAATTTGCTTGTTCTTGCTTATCTTTTAAAAGGGGTTTATCTATTTCTGAGTTTTTAAGATGTATTTTTTGTTATAAGATGAATGCGACCAAGATGATATGCATAAGATGATGTTGCAGAACTCAAACAAAGACTCACATCACATCCTACAACTTTACATTTTCCGATTCTTTATTCTTCATCTTTATCAAACCATTTCCATACCCAACTTGTATCTTTTGAGTTTCTTTTCTTTCGTGTAGGTAATTTTAAAATTTTTTCATAAATATCTAATCTTTGATTAAGAAATGCGATATCAATTGAAGGAGGAAGGGAAGGTATTATTTGATTTGTCATCAGGAAAATTTTTATAGCAAAGTACTTCGAAAAATTTACAATTTGTAAATATTTCGAAATACTTCGCCATAATCCTCTGTAATAACTACGTTTTCATTGAAGTACTTCATATGTATTACTGATCGTAATCCTATGTAATGTAAACCTTTGAAGTATTATGAGATTTCGTAAACCTACGAAGTATATTACAGTACTTTGCAGGTTTATTAATTGTAAGTTTTTGAAGTACTTCATAGGTTTACGAAAGATCACGCTACGTAGTATTATGATTAGTAATACTTACGAAGTACTTTGATGAAAACGTAGTTATTATGGAGGATTATGGCGAAGTATTTCAAAATATATACAAATCATAAATTTTTCGAAGTACTTCGCTATAAAAAAGAATAATTTATTTAAACGTAACCCTTCATAAAGTTTATACTAAAATATAAATATTGCGAAGCTTTATACTATAATATTGCATAAAGATACAAAGGTTTACAAATGGTTTACATGTCCCCGAAGGTTTACAAAACGTAGTTTTACGAAGGTTTATACTAAAACGTAACCTTATGCAATATTTACAGTTAAAAATTGCGTAAGGTTGCAAAAGGTTGCGATAGCTCTATAAATCTTGCGGAG